CATTGAAACTCTCCCAGGATTCATCATTACCCCATCTTCAATGACTTTCTTGCCTCCATGAGGAGAAAACATGATTGTTGGTCTGGATTTTTTCCTTAAACTCACCTAGCCTTGTAGTTGCCGCCCTTTCCCAGCCTTTTAAAGAGAACTCTATAAACTTGGAAAAAATTATAGGGCCTAGTGTGCAGCACATGCCTATTTACACAGAGGAGAAAAAAATCCTCTATGGAGAGTCCTCTAGCCTGAGCCTGATGCAAACTGGTAGGAACAATCAGAAGATTCACCATCTCGGGTAACAGGGCTTCAAGAGATGGTATAGATTTCAGGTGATCGAATTTCTCTGTGACTTTCTGGCCTCAACCCTGACCACAAATTGACTCAGCCCTTCAAGCTGGTCCTCTTCATTGTGGCGTGTGGTGGCCTGAAGCAAATCGACTTGCTTGTTTGTCACCTTTATGGAGTGGAGATGAATGCTGTGTGCCCAATACCCTCATTCCAGTTAGGGCAGCTTAAACCACAAAATCACCCTGACCCAATAACTATTGTTGGGCCAATGCCCGTGATGATTGGCTTGAATGCATGCACATTCCTGAACCAAATTGGGAATTACCCTTTGGCCAGTGCAACTCATCCTGGGAGTGGGGGCAGGCTCAGATCTTGTGGGACCCCACAAGCATCTCAGGGAAGGGTGAAAACCAGAAAACTGGTTCTGTTGAGTTGATGCTGGGTATATACCAACACTGCCCATGGGGGCGCAAGGACAGTAGGGTGAGGAGCTGGCTCAATAAGAGAGCATTATATTAACTCCTGCCTAAGAATCCAGGGAAAAAATCCCATAAAATGTCATATCTCTTAGTCATAACTCTAATAAAAAATGTGAGGTTACCACATTTAATTTAGGAGAAAAATGCCATCATTTATGGAACGGCCATTGAACTAGGTGCTTCCTTATACCATGTCATCTAGTAACTTCATGCTCACAACCCTTGCAAGGGAATTATCATCCCGTTTTATGAATGAGGAAAGAAGGCTCCAAAAAGTACTGTGACTTGGTCCTAGTCGCACAGGTGAGAGGGGCTGAGTGGAAACCAGACTCAGACTTCTGTGTAGAAAAGGCCCCAACACAACATTTGGCTCGTTGTCCTTCAACAAACAAAAGTAGGATGTATGAGTTAATTTCTTGTGAATCGAAAACCATTGTTGGAAACCAGGAAATAAATGCCCTTCAGCCTCTGGGCCCATGGGAAAACCAGAAAACCATTGTTGACATTTAAAAATAAAGTACAAAATGGGACCAGGAGAATTGGGGGAAATAGTAAGAAGAGCCCATCCATTTTTCTCCCGAAATGCACAGAATCCCATTTGGATTTGGGGCAGGAAGGTGGGACCCAGTATCTCCCCACACCTATCCAGGGTTGCAGTCACATATAGACATCCTTGTGCGAGTGACTGAAATGGTCATTTCTGCTAACAGTCTTAGAAAAGGATACATCTTTTGGTTCAGCTTGTCCATCTCCACAGTATTAAAATTTGCATTTATGCTATTTGTCCTTGGGAGTTTTCTTGGGGGGGAACACTTGACTGTGCAGTTTATTTTGTGGGGCTGGGGGTGGGAGCTTGGACAGTGAGACTCATGTGCGAATAGCCCTAGGGGGTCTTAAGTAGGTGGCCCTGTGGTTGCCCCCACAGGCTTCTGGAAGGTCCATCTTCTCTCTTGCCCCTGCAATGGGGTTGAGGTGAATTGGCTTCCTTTCGCGGCTGTGACTAAGCACACTAAGTCCTTCTGTAATGCCACTGAGCTTCTTGGAAATGTAGACTTTAAGTAAAATAGTGAAAGCAGATCCTCAAATAATGTCTTATTTGAGGTTGGCCTCATCAAAGATTGTGTTATAATTTTTATAACATATATATATGTTTTAACATTCTATAGATAGATACAAATATTATAATAAAATCATTTCCTTTGAAGTTACTTCAAAGGACAGCACATTATTTGCTGGACTGCATATTTAGTGCCTTAAAACAATGCAGATTTATTATATAACAGTCCTGGAATTTGGAAGGCCAAAATGAAATTATATGGTGCTAAAGTTAAGGTGTCCTCAGGGCTATGTTCCCTCTGGAAGCTCTAGGGGAAAGTCCATTCTCTCGTCACTCTGGTTTCTAGAAGCCACCGGCTTTCTTTGGCTGGTGATCCCTTCCTTCTTCAAAGTGTATCATTCTGACCTCTGCTTCCATTGTCTCTGCTCCTTTCTGCCTTTGACTTCCCACTTTCCTCTTATGGGGACTGTTGTGTTCATACTGGGTCCACCTGTTTAATCCCGGCCACTCTTCCCCATCTCAAATCTTCATTTAAACTCACGGGCAAAATTGCTTTGCCACATAATGTTACATAGTCACAGGTTTTGGGGATTAGTACTGGGGCATCTTTCAGGGGTGAGGGGAGAAACGCCTCTTTTGAAACTGCCATCCCTTGCCTGTGAGGACTCAGAATGAGGCTGTTTTGAATGAATCAACTTCCGATGGAAACTAACAAAGGAATATTGGGAACATCATTGTTCTCATTTGGATTTTCAATTTTAGTTTCATCACCTTAACAGAGAACTTGAAGGGTCTGCACACACACAATGCATACACAGTGACTGGGGAATGAGGACATTACCTGGGTAATTTGGGCTGTTAATACTTAGTAAGTCTCATATTTCCAGCAAAGACCCCTGCTCCAGAGTTTGAATTACGTGGCCACTTCCCTTTCCATGCACAGGCTCTGGGTATGTCTTAGAAGACTGGACACAGGTGACTCTGCATGCAGACAGGATGTTGGGGGAGTCCTGGAGTCTGGGTGGAAGGATGGCTGGGCTGGGCAAATGGGGATTGGGAGCTTCTGCAGTGGGGCCCAGACTCGAGGCATTTGGGTGCTGTTGGTAACACTTTCCCCCATATTGGTGTCTTACCTAGTTATTATTTACTTTAATGTTTTTCTTTAATTGATTAACTTTTGGTGATATAGTTGTTTTATCTGATATCACTTCTATAAGTGAAAAAATAGAATGTCATAAAAATAATTATTGAGATGAAAAGATGTGCACCTACTACCTAAAATACCCTCATTTTGGTGTATGCATCAGAACTTTTCAAATTTTAATATGTGTACAGGTTACCTGCCGATTTTGTTAAAATGCAGATTCTAATTCAGTCCAGTTAGGGGTGAAGACTGAAATTCTGTATTATTAAGCAACAAATGATAACTCAGGGTCAGCAGACTATCATATACGTATAGGATCCTGAGGTCTGTTCATTTTATACCCCAAATCCATCCTCCGCTATTTCCTACCTCCATGAGATTGGTGCTATTTTTATTCCCTGTCTACATTTTATCCCTCCTCAACGAAAGACACATTCAGAACTTACCCATCATGGATCTTATGAGTGCTGCTCAGCTAATATTTGCAGTTTCTCCTTCCTGACACACACGATGCACTATATTTTCTGATTTCTTTATGGTTGGGTGGGACTTTGTTTTGGCTCATTAGATGTGAGTGAAAATGAGATGTGTCATTTAATTTCTCATAGTCCATCAGGGATGGTGACAAAATGTGATGGAGATGGTGCCTGTTCTATCATGTATCCTTGCCAATGTACAATAGACATGTAGCATGAGCAAGAAATGAATCTTTGTTGTCAGAGTCCCTGGGGTTTAGGGATCATTTGTTATTGCAGTAAAACCTAGCCTAACCTGACGAATCGGTAGTGTAGTTTCACCCACTTAACTCTTCAGCACTTTGCATGTTGGAAGTACTTAATAAATATCTGTCAAACTGTTTTCCTTCTCAAATATACCATACTAGCTTTCTTATGCCACTGCTGGGCATGTTCAGTGGCAAGTAACTTGGCAAAACAGGAAGAAGAAAGCCCAGTCCTGTTGCCTTACTTCTTACTTTGAGTTGTGAGGAAGCCCTGCAGTGGGTCAGCGGATTATGTGGTTCTTGGGTATAGAAATACATGCCCTCATTCAGGTGTGGACTCATTCAGATAGAGTTGGAGCTCTATGATGAGTCGTTGCTAGTACACACTCAAAGCTCTGCCTTCCAGTTGGGTGGGGGACAATATGGGTTGGAAAGCTAATAATCTTAACTGGCTCCCAACATAAGCTAGATAGCCTGGGAGTAGGTAGGCATGACTAACTCTAGTTTCAGAGATTCAGGTGACATTTGAAACAAGCCCTTAAAGAGAAAAGGCCTTGCCTGTGTCAGATAGGCTTGGGAGCAAAGCCAAGGACACAATGAGTGTTGGTGGGGAAAATTCTTGGCTCTCAGCTTACCGGACTTAATAGGCAGTGAACCCCCTGGAACCATGGTATCCAGAAAATTTGTGTGCATTTGGAGGGTTACCTTTTCTAGCACCTTCTTAATGAGGTTTGGGGATGTGGATGGCTGGGGAATCGAGTTTTCACCAAGTATTTAGAAAAGAGCATGGAGCTGATCTAACCTGATGTCAAAAGAAGTGGGAACATCTAAAGTCAGGCTTTGTCCATGGTGCTTGGAGGAAAGTCAGAGTCGGACTGGGTGGATGAAGAGAATGTGAGATGTGGAGGCTTGGGTATTGCTATAGGTTCAGGTGAGGCGAAGCACGAACATAGCCACATGGAGTTACTGTTTTAACAGAAAGCTTCTGCAGAGTGATAGATCATATGAGTGAACATCTTGTGCTGAAAGAGGAGACACCGCTAGCTTTGGCAGCTCTGGGAACACCCCCTGCAATAAAACCAGTTTACTTGAAAAGAATATACACCCTGCTGTCACATTGTGCATAATGAACACAAAGTCTTTTGAATAAAATGATGACGATAACACCCTCAAATGATACAAATGCCAGTGAACATATGAGAATGTGCTCAACCTTGTCCGTAATCGGGGAAATGGAGAACAGTGATTCATTCTGGTATGGTTAGATTGAATTCTCAAGTTTGTGAGATGTGTACTGTTTTCTTTCCTATCAAGTCCTGCTGCTCTTGAACCTGGGAGGAAATTGGCTGATGTTCTTGTAGCCGTCTTGACACCATGGGAATGGAGCCATACCAGAGGAAGGAGATAAGAGAAGGAGAGAAAGACCAGGGCCTGACAGTTCCATTGGAGTCCCTGGATAAAGCTTTACCTGAGGTTCATGTTCCCCAGAATTTGCAGTTATGTGAGCCAAGTTTAAGCTGGACTTTCTATCTCTGGTAAGAATTCTAACCAACACAAGCATAAGTAATGGGGGGAGATTAGGATTTCTGTCACTTGTTGAGTGTTTATTGCAACTGTCCCAAGGACTTTATATGTATTACTTCATTTATTCTTACAACCAGCCAATGAAGTAGGGCACCTTATCCTTATTTTACAGGCAAGAAAGCTGAGTCATAGATAGACCATTAAGAAATTTGCCTAAGGTCATACAGCCACACTTGGACCTAAGCAGTTTGGCCCCAGCGTTTGTACTCAAACCTGCTGCCTCATTGGACTCTTGGGGTGCAAGACACGGTGAGAGGGTGCCTTCTTTGCAGTAGATCAAGGCTGGCTCTGCTTGCAGGTCCATGCCCGTGGGCTCCTGGATATTTCATCAGTGAGGAAAAACCCACAAGATGTTTTTAAATTCATTGTCTTTCTACATTTAGAAGATGATGGTGATTTTTCCATCGTGCAGTACAATGATGTGGGATTAATTTGGTAATTAAATGTTTGTTGCTGGGAGTGAATAAATTGTTCTTCATCACTAGGAGATTTTGTCATCTCACTGCTTGTTCATTGTGGCATTCACTTCAACTTTGTAACTTCATTTACAGTAATAGATGCTGACAGTTTTGCCCCGCTGGTATTCTTTGGGAAGATGTTATTTATTGTCCCTGATGCTAGAGGAAAAAAATTAGGTCATTGCCTCACCCATCTTCCCTATACCATCCAAACACGTGCTTCATTAGGCAAAAAAGATAAAACCAATGTTGTCTTTTTTTTTTTTTTCTGTTCTAGCCTAGCTTTTTTCCCCAAGACTGCCGTGTTCTCAAATTTTTGCAGCTGGCATGCTGAAATGCTGCCCCATGTATTTCTTACTCTTTCATGTGGTGTTTGAGCAGGCGCCTCATGTCCAGCTGGAACATCATTATGTTGTACAAGGTCCTGAAGTCGTTTTATCCGTGAGGCATCAACTCTCTGCACCTCATTTCCCACTGTCGCTGGGGGAATGTCCCTCCAGATGCCCAGGGTTCAAGCCTGCACTTCCTGTGTGGTGTGGACAGCCTTGCCCATGTGAGCTCCTTTGAAAGCGCCCATCTCATAGACTGGTGTTTTGTGAATGCTACTGTAAAAAGAGCAGCTGGTCTGCTTCCTTTCTGCCAAGTTATATCAATATGGAGTTTAACCATTTTTTTTGGTTGTTTTTAGTTTGGGGGATGCCAATGCTTTCAAAATAATTTACTTCATTTTTTTTTTTAATGCATGAACAACAATGTGCCTTTTGATTCTTCTTGTGCCTTAACATAGGGTAGAATTTTTATTCTTTCTGAAATTTAAAAAATGATGTTGAATGAGGATGATTGCTAAAGAACTTTGGGAGTCCCTGCAGCATTTCTCCCCACCCCCCATTTTACTGGGGTGGGGGGGACACACTTAAAGAGCATGTATGTATAGACTTTTGAGTTCGACAGATTGGGGCTAAGTAACTGTGGGACTTTGAGCAAAATATCTCACATTTTAGCCTCAGTCTCTTTCTTTCCTCCATAAAATAAGGACAAAACCATCTCCACTAAAAGTATAAAAATTACTGCAAGTGTCTGAGACATCAGGGTGCTCACCCCCGAGAGCTGTTTTTGCTATATCCCTCCTGTATGGTTTCTCCCTGGGTGAGATTTCCAAATGTGTCAAATTTAGGGTTAAGGTGGGGAAGGAGGTCTAAAAGGTCATGGGGACTCAGCTACACTTGTATTAAGCAGACTTTATGAAAAGGAGGACTCAAAAACAAACCAAAGGATGTTGAAAGCAGTTATTTATTTTCAGAAAGATTCTCCTTTAAGCTGTCAACTTTCCTGTTTCAAGTATGACTTCATTTTCATGTTACTTTGGGGGATATTCCAGACACACAATGGGATCTGTTTCTCAGGGCCCTGCCCTAGACTCAGAAGAGACTGGGTTTCTGTGCTAAGCAGGTTTCAGGTGGAAGCCAGGGCAAAGCTAGCTCGGAGACAGAGGATGGGAAGGAGCCAGCCCAGAGGAGGGGAATCCTCAGAAGGTAGGGACATCCCGAAGGGGATCCTGGGGAGGAGAGGCCCAGAGCTGGTGGGAGAGAAGGAGAGAGGACAGGAGTAAGGGACCCTCTGGTTGGAGGAGAAAGGGCCACACACACATGGTTAAAATATTGCTTACTTCTATTATATCATGAAAAAATGGCAGTGACCAGAGCTGCCTGGATTAGGAAAAAAGGGTGTAATTCCATCTTGGGGCTTCTGGTGAATTGAGCTGTGGTTCTGTGGTTTATGATGTCACCAGAATCCCTGGCTAGAATTACAGCCTTTTACTTTACAACTTGGTAAGTGGGGAGGCCCAAGGGTCCTTTGTGCCTCCTCGAAATGTGGTGAGGACCCCAAGGTCAGGGTTGGCCTGGGAGGTCAAGTTCTTGGAGGCTTGCGGCTCCTACCCTAAGCGGCTAGATCGTCTGGATTAAGCCACTTTTCCTGACTACTCCGTCCTCTGTTCCTTCTCTCTCTGTCTCCCCACTCTCCTTTTTCATTTCCCCAAGTTGTGTGCCTTGATTTTCCCATGATTATTTTATAAAAATCTCGATGAGCCAGATTTCTCTGACCTTCATGCTCATTAAGCTCACAGTTCAAAAGTTACCATCTCAAAACCCACCTAAGAATGGTTTCAAGGTGCTGTCTCTGACTTCTGAAGGAAGAACCCTGCCATGAGTTGGGTAGCTCACTTCTGTCTTCTGTTCTGCTGCCAACCTTCCCCTCCACCGTACGTGCCAAGCTTAGGAGGTGACGGAGCTCATGGTGAAGCAGGTTCAGGGGTCTGGCATTTTTTGTACCCTCATACCCTCGCTCCTCTGCCTCCATTCTTCAACCTTTAACAAAGGTTTGCAGAATATTTATTATGTGCCAGGAGCTCTGAGCTTGGATTGATAGATATCATGGGTGCATCCATCTAGGATCACTGTCCTCACGCCTGGTGTTGCCACTTGGGGCTTGTAGTGATGTCGAAGGTAGTCCCCTTCCTCATTACAAGTCCATTCCTCCTTAAGTGTTTGCCATTTCACTTTCTGCCACAATTATTGCCTCATTTCTCAAGCCAGAGATCTAGGGGTGTCCTGCCTGATGCTCCATTCCCCTCATGTCCAACATCCAGCCTACCTGCTATTGCACATCTATTCCTATTCCTTCTGCCTCGAGTGCTCAGTCTCCCCTCACCTAACCAGACAGTGCCTTCACCTTATCATTCATGCTCAGCATCACCCATGCTCAGAAAGACCTTCCCCGGCTTGTAGTGGATTTCCCTGTTGTTCTCCATTTCAGTTCCTTACGTGTCTCTACAAAGCATACACAATTAGCAAGAACTTTATTTGTTTTTCTGTTTCCTCCTCTGGGAAATAAGATATCTGGGTGACAGGGGCTGTATCTGTTCCCCATCATATTCCTAAAACCTAGCACAGTTTTGGATACATGGCTTGGAATGAATGAATGAACATAGTCAAGCTTATTTTGTTTTGCCGACAAAGTCCTATTTGTCTTAAGGTCTCAGCTTCTCTAGGGAGATTTTCCCCATTTTCCTAATCTGTGTTCTCCCAACTCTCCCTGGCTGGCCCCACCGTGACACTTATCTCCTTGTGAGGCAACAGGGCAGTGGGAAGATAAGAGTGTGGGCTTTGAGGCACGGAGACTTGGGCCATGAAACAGCCTGTGTCCCTTCCTGGCTGCTTGTCATTTGCTTCTTGAGTCCCCCTTGTGAAGCTTCTTTAGAGGATGGAGATAATGTGCCAGCAAAGGCAGCCCCTTCAGAAGTGGTGCTGTTATTGTCTTAGAGCTATTTATTGACATGACTGTTGCCCAAGAGACTGTAAGTGCCTGAAGAGGGGGTGGCTGGTATCTGTCTTGTCACCCATGCTGGTGGAGGGTGGAGTCACAGGGAGTCCTCTGCTCATCCCTCTCCCTGTAGCCCAGGGCCCTATTTGGGTGGTCGGCCAGCCAGAGGACAGTGAGAGGAGTGTCTCTGTGGGTGAGCCTGGCTTCTGAGTCACAGGGAAAGAGCTTGCTCTGGCTAGAAAAGCAAGCTAGACCTATTTACTGAAGCCCCTCCAATGACCATCACAAATAGATGAGTCAAAGGTGCAGAGAAAATCATGGGATCATAGTTCGAGCTGAATCTCCCATTTGCCTAGAGATGACCCCTGAATTGTTTTGCGACAGTGCTTGGTGGGCCCTGGATCAACCTCTTCCTTGCACCTCCCTCCATTGCAACAGTGGCCGGAAAATGCAGGAGGCCCAAATTCCTGGGAAGTGCATTCGTCTGATCCTCACTGGGTGATAGGTGAGGTCTGTTTTGGTCTGGCTGAGGTCCAGGCATTGCTGATGCCAGCCCCCCACAGCTTTCTGTTTTCTTCCCTGGAGCTTGCCGGCCTGCTTTACCTTGTGCTCACCACTACTCACCCCACATGCAATAGACCCACCTCCACCTTCAGCAGCATCTGCCAGCTTGGCCCATGCTCTGTTGCAGGGGGGTGCTCTGAAGTCCTTCCTTTGGAGGCCAGAGTTTGCATTTGCCATTTTCTGAGCATATCCTGGGCACAGTATGTGTTAGTGGGGTTCTTCCCCAGGCCACCCTTATGTCTCTATTGATATTTTCTATACTTGAAGCACTTGGGTTTCACCTTCATGATTTTTGCAACCATTTGTGTGCAGTGAGTTGCTCAATGGTTCCTTTGTCATTGCTTTTTCAAAGGGCACAGATTTGGAGTGTGTGTGCAGAGACCTGCGAAGCCCTCTGGCTTGACACCCAGAAATGGAGGCTGTGGTCCCCAGACCTTTCCCAAAGAACCGAAGAGCACTGTGTTCTGAAAGGCCACAGTCTCCTTACACCACCTGTGTTGCCGGTAACACCGAGGTGCAAAATTGGCCACCCCAGAGAGGTAATTTTATGGGTGAGTTTGTTTATGTTAAGTTCCACACTGGCAGTTGGGTCAGATTTTCATGTGATGATTTTGTGTTCTGCCTATAAGGAATTACAAATGTGCCCCAAACATTTGTGCTACTACAAATGTGCCCCAAACACCTCTTTCCAGAATAAACTCATGTTTTGCAGAGGAAATGAAATATGCTGGGATCACACTCAGAATAGAACGTCCTTGGCTTGATCCAGTGATGCCTGGTGAGAGGTTGACAAGATCCCCGCAGGGAGCTGGGTACTCCACACCTGGAGCTCTTTACCTAAGGCAGGAGTCCCTGGAACATGGTGCCTCAGGACTGTGTTGAGAGGCAGGATGTGAGCATTTTGGGGCATGCAAATACTTGCTGGAATATTTGCAGGATATGTGCACTCACATGTAGCATTTGATAAGTGGAGATGAAGGGCCAATTTTGGCCTTGGTGGGGAGGAGAAAAGGTCACAGTTCATAACTTCCAACCACAGCTGAGGTGGTACCTCCCTGGAAAATGGAAGTTGTTTAGAAATATGAGCAGGAAGCACAGGCAGGTGGGAGATTTGACCGCCAGTAGTGAACTGAATGATCCTGGCTATGTTACCTTGACCTTTCAAGATACCAGTGTCCTTTTATTTTTTTGTAAAATGGGGAGGGTAGGCCATTAGGGAAGCTTTCAGGTCAGGGAAAGGTGAAGTAGGAATTTTTCCCTGAGATTGTTTTGTTTAGTGAATTGGCAGCGTACTCCAGCCGCCAGCCACAGGAACTCTATGGGAATTTATCAGCAGGACATTGGGCTCATTCATGGCTCAGAAGAAAAGTTGAGTGGAGAGGTGGAGAACCAGGACAACATGGGGATCTGGGTGGCAGGAAGGGAATACAGCCTCCTAGGGCTTTGTTGACAAGTCCATCAAGACTAATCTTTTTTTTTTTTTTCCTTGCCTTGTATTATTCTACTCTAGTTCCAAATTCCTGGGTGAGAGAGGGTCTCCCAAGGTAGGTCAAGGACCCACTCCTTGGGAACAGGAGCACAGAAGCACCTGGATGGACAGATCCACAAAGACTGTTTTCTTGGGGGTGAGGCTAGGAGAGGAGGGGGACCAATAATCCTCCAAAGGAAAAGCGCATTGTTACCAAAAAAGGGGAGGGTTGCACAGATGCTGATAGATTAAAGCTGTAGGTTTTGTTACTTAGAGTAATGAATAAAAAGGTGATCATTTGGGCTGTTACAAAGTCTCTTTTTAAAGCCAGAGTGAGCAAGAGCATGGCTGTTGGTCATCTCAACCTGGTCTTATTGAACATTTGCTTAAATATTTTAATTGGCTGGTGTAGCAACAGACATTTGTGGTCTGTGACTTGACCAGAGTGAAGGATTCTGGTGATTTCAGCCTCTTGTTGAATCCATTGATGAACAGGATTGAAAGCACAGGATGAAGTGAAACCAAAATGACTGATATGATGATATTGTGTCTGTCTTTTCAGTTTTGAAGTCCTAACCATGACTTTTGGTTGGGATTCCTTACACATGGCTCAGATCAGAACAAACCAGATTTTGGGTCAGAAGGAAAATGAAGGGAATTGATAGTGTCCCTTAAGCTCTTGGTTTAATTTATCTCCTTGCCTGCTTGGGTTGGGTGAACAAGTTATGTTGTTAAATTTCCACCAGGTACTGTCCACCCTACTATTTGGTACTGTGCACCTATCTTGGAGACACAGCTTCCAGCAGCATTTCCTAATTCTGTGGAATCTAGGCCTTGAGAGCATCAAAACAAAACAAGACAAACAAACAAAAAACAAGGGAGATTTTATCATCCAAAAAGCTTGTCTTGTATCACAAATTATATTGTCTGTTGGCTCTTCATGATGCACGTTAATATATTAAGGAGCTGATAAGTGCAGCAGTATCATTTTTGTTTTGCCTAGTTTGGCATTTCCTAAACATTTTTGACCTTGGAACATTTTAAATTATCACCTAGTACTAAATAATATTAGTTACTGTTATTCTGGCTTTGAAGAATACTCATAGCGTTCTTTTAACCTCTATTGATCAAGCATATGTGATTTCATTGGTTACTTCATCTTCTTGGCCCTTACACATTTCTACGCCATGAATTCAGAAGCATGTTTGCTTATACTTGGCAATTCTAAGGTAAACCTGGGCCTTGGAGCATACTTACAGATTGTCCCAGATTGACTGTGTGACAAGGTTCACTTACCCTGCCAGCAAATGTTTGTCAGGTGCCTGCGTACAGAATGTTCTCTGAGGCACTGTTGGAGGCAGAGAAGTGAAGAAGGGCTGGGCCCTTTCTTAAAGAGCCCTGGCTCATCAGGAGAGTGTGTGCGACCCACTCAGGAATGAGAGGCAGAATGAGTAACAGTCCATAGACGCTCCATGTCAGCCCCTGCATGGGCTGGGTATCTTGTATGCACAGTGATGCCTAAGGACACACATAGATATGTACACTGTACCTCAAAATTACAGCATCTTTGCTCTTAGGCATTATTTTCCTTTTTAACAGGTAAGGAAACTGAGATTCAGAGAGGTTTGTCTCTTGCCAGGTATCACATGGTTAGTGAATGATGGTGACAATGTAGATAACCTTGTCTGACTCTGAAGCCAGGATCCTTCCATTGGCTTCCACTGCCACTTCGTGCCCAAACCCCAGAGCTGAATAGTTTCTGAGATGTCAACTATTAGAGTGGGCTCTAATGTATTTTTTTAAAGATTTATTCATTTAATTATTTATACAAGCACTGGGTATAGTCAGAAGTGTGGGAGGTTGAGAGAATTCACCAGAGCCAGAGCAGGGAGCAGAAGAGACAGACTGACGAAGTACACTGCTGAGGGGAGCAGCGGTCGCGGCAGGAGAGGTATGTTGCACCATGTGGGACCCTCACCATTGGCTGGGGATCCAACTGGAGCTGCGGAGGCTGCGGGCAGCTTCGCAGCCCAGCGCTCAACCACTGCACCATGGGGGAGGCCCTCTAATGTATTTTTTAAAAAGATTTATTTATTTATACATACAAGAACTGAGGCATAGGCTAGAGGTGCAGGGGGTGAGAGGATTCACCAGAGACAGAGTGGGGAGCAGAACAGGCAGATCTACTGAAATACACTGCTGAGGGGAGCAGCGGGTGAGACAGGAGAGGTCTGCTGTGGGTCACCTCCCTGGTGGACGGGGAATTGAACTCATGCTGCAGTGGCTGGCGACAGCTTGACAGCGTTTTCTAACGCCTGCGCCACCAGGGAGGCCCCATGGGCTCTAATATTTAAGTGAACACCAGCTCAGAAAACTTGATCTTTGATCCTTGTCATCCATGAGAATCGCGAGAAAGGCATTTTTAACCTATAAAAAGCAGTTATTTCCTGTTGTGTGAGCAATTCATAAATACACTCCTATAAAACATAAAAAGTATTGCAGGTAAGCTAACGTCATCTATAACAGCTAGTGTGGTATCCTCTTATCTTCCTCAATGGTTAACCATGTAATCAGTTTGGTATGTACTCCTCCAGACCTTTCTCTGTATATTACTTATGTACAAATGGAGGAAATATGGCAAATATCACATTGAGTGAATTATCTAACAAATTTTCTTTTTTCACTCAATGGTATATTTGGAGTTCTTTCTATGATAGTACATATTAGCTATGCCATACTTTTTTTCTCACTGATATTGAAGCCACAGCTTATTTTGAAAGTTGAAAGAATACGAATAATTCAAAGACTCTTCTTGTTCCCTTTCTCCAGATTTAATATTTTGCCCTGTTTGCCTTGCAGATGTGTGTGTGTGTGCACGCGTGTGTGTACATACACACAGTCGACCCTCGAACAACAGGAGTTTGAACTGTGTGGGTCTACTTGTAGTTACTTTTCTTGTAAACAGACTGTGTAAGCTTAAACTATTAATGGTTTAAGCTTATGGTTTTCTTAGAAACATTTCTTTTCTCTGGCTCACATGTAAGAATACAATACATGTAACATACAAAACATACCTTAGTTGACTATGTTTTCAGCAAGGCTTCTGGTCAACAGTAGGCTATTAGTTCAGTTTTTGGGGAGTCAAAAACTATCATTGGATTTTCAACTACACAGCAGTTTGGCACTTCTAACCCCACAATTGTTCATGGGGTAAGTGTAGTGCAATTTTCTTTTTGAAGTCATTTGAGAATAAGTAATATACATCACGTGCTCTTCCCCTGACTCTTTTTTTTTTAAAGGAGAACTCTTGTTTTTTGTTTATTTATTTATTTATTTATTTATTTATACAAGCACTGGGTACAGTCAGAAGTGCAGGAGGGTGAGAGAATTCACCAGAGCCAGAGTGGGGAACAGAGCAGGCAGAAGGACTGAAGTACACTGCTGAGGGGAGCAGCGGGCGGCAGGAGAGGTCTGCACGCCATGTGGGACCCTCCTCTGGTGGCCAGGGAGCAGCCGGGGATCGAACTGGCGCTGCAGAGGCTGTGGGCAGCTTCGCAACCCAGCGCTCAACTGCTGCGCCACCGGGGAGGCCCTTCCCCCCCCACTCTTAAGGGCGTATTTCCTAAGAGTAAAGATATTCCCTTAAAGAATGGAGTGGTTATCAACTTCTCTAAACTTAATACTGATACACTACTTTTATCTAGTCTACCATCAATAGTCCATTTTTGCCAATTAACCAAATAATGGCCTTTGTGGTACTTTCCCTACTAGTCCAGTATCAGATATTGCATTTACTTGTCATGCCTCTTTGTTCTTCTATTAATATGGGACCTTTTAATAGTCTTTCTTTGTATTTTATGATAGTGACACTTAGAAGGAAAGTGTTGCTTTTTATAAAATGGACCAAGTCTTATTTTGCGTTTTCTGGTGTTTTCTTATGATTGCATTGATGATTTGATTCAAGGTAGGCATTTTCAGTCAGGCTGTTGTATAGGTGAGAGTCCTTCTCAGGGTATTTCATCTGCACACACAGAATGTCCATGTGCCCCTTGTTGGTGATGCGCATTTGGATCATCCTGTCAA